TGCATCCCAAGCAAACGTCGTTCAGCTTATAATGACTTTGAGAGTGAGTTTATAGAAGCATTTATTTGAGGTTGTTCTTTCCGCGTTTTTTGCTTCTTTCCTCCATCTAGTTTTTCTTGGAATTTTATGTTTCCTTTGTTTTTTTATCTCATTTTCATCTTTCCAACCTTTGATGTGAGGTGAGCCAGTCATTTTTCAGGTTATTGGTCTCGCTTTCGAAGTCTCTGACTTTCGATATGCTAAAGCTCACCCAGAATCGGTCACGAAGCCCAGAAGATTTCTGGAATCAGAGCCCAGTTTCTTGGATGTTTTAAACTATTTTTATCACTTTGCTGGATTATTCACAGGTAATTTAGGCTCTTTCGATATTCTTTTTTTTTGATATCGCTTCTTATGTTACATCAGTTATTAACTTCGCACTTAATGTTTCATCTTCTAACTAGAAATTCAACGTTTTCAGGCCCCTACTATACTTATCAAATGTTGCTAGACTCACAGGACCCAGTCTTAATTACAAAATGGTCACCTATCCCGGAAATTCGGGAAAGAGCATTGCGCTTATGTTGGAGTGTTCCTCTTTTTATCATTTTCAACAAATTGTATCCATTGGATGTGGGTTTTACATGTGCTGCACACTTTCTTTTCCATTTTTACACATTAATTTTTATGAAGTTTCCTCCAAACTTTAATTATCTCATTACTTTTTCAAGAGAGATGCGAAGTATTAGGAGTTAATTGACAGAGTAATTTAGGGCCTGCGTTCCGATGCTGTTTGGGAGATGACTTTCCCCTATAGATTATTTTACGCTGCAGCAGTTTTTGTCGTATTTCGTACTCGAGTTTATAGGTAGTCCTTACAAAGTAGCATGACTGATATCAAAAACGTAAGCAATTCTTCTTGAATTTGCAGCGCTTGGGCAGTAGCCGAAAGTATGTGCGTTACCCTTGGACTTGGAATCTACCCCACCGAATCAAAACCACGTACAGTGATTGGACCCAGTGATTTGGAAAAGTACAAGTAAGCCAACACTTTCCCTTTCCTATTATGTACGGTTCGCGACTCGCACGGAAAAGTCCTAATTTAGAGAATTGAAGGGCCGCTCAGATATTTGTTATAATTCTGAAGCCATTGTCAATCTGGACATACCTGAGGTAAGGCAGGGATCGCTGTTTACTTCTCCTTGTTTTCTTTGAATTGTCTTCATCAATCTTCACGAACTCCAAAACCATCCATATGAAATTCTAAATAGTAAATGTAATTGCAGATGACCACTAATACACTTTTTCATTTTACATTCTTGAAGTTAATATAGAATTTCAAAAAGTTATTGAATGTATCTTTACCCTCCAGAATCTTTGGGAAAGACAGTATAATTAGGTTTTTATCTACTAAATTTCTTTTGTTCTACTATTGCTTGTATTATCTTCTATTTTATATTCACTGCAATTAACGTGCATCTCATATGATTATTTGGGAAAAAAACTCTAGAAAATTCTTCGTTTTATGCTATAATTGAGTTGCTACTTTTTCTAAAATTCTTCTCCGTTCCTT